GCAGCCCTGGCGGGGCTGTGAGCTCAGAGATGAGCTCTGCTCGCTGCTGGCGCCAGCCCGCGCGGGGTGCCCGGCGTGCCCGCCCCACACCCCCAGCCCGGCAAGGGGCTGATTCACACGGGGCGCTGGAAGCAGGGCCGCCGTGGGAAAAGGCAGCGGCCATGGCTCCCGAGCACGGGGATTGCTTCAGCAGGGGTGCAGCCAAGATCCGTTTCGGAGAGGGCAGATCGAGTCTGGGATTTACCGGTGACTAAGCGTGTGCTGGCACGGGCTGCCCCAGCGTGAGAAAGCGAGCGCTGCTCCTGCTCGGAGGTGTGCTCCCGGCGCGAAAGACTCCCCACTGCCYGAGCCTCCTCTGCTCCCTGCTGCCCTGGCACCCATGGAAGGACCAGGGCCACACTGGGAGTGCAGGTGGGGACCCGGCAGATCTCCTGTAGGGGAAAGGGCCTGTGGTCCCCCATTAATGCTCCTCATTAGCTGAGCTCGCTCTTCTCGGCCACCCAGATGTGGAAGCTTCGTGCCGCTCGGGAGTCCGTGCCCTGCTGCGCAGCACCAGGCAGGAAGCTTCTGCCCTGGTGGCACCCTTGAGTGCTCTTGGTCGCTGCAGCTTCTTTGACCAGTGGTCCAGGGAGCTACAAGACTCCTGCTGGTGTCCTCCCATTGTGAAGGGTTTTATATCCATATATGCCTCACCCCGTGGAAGCTAATCCTTCCATGATTAATCTGGGGAAAGCATGCCTTCCTGAGGAGGAAAACCCCATCCTTCACCCTTTTGATAGACTCCCCCCTTCCCTGCCCTTAAGGAAAAAGAAAGCAAGTCGCACACACCCACACCCACACAGAAAAGCTCCAGCCTCACAGCAGCAAAGTCAAGATGGAGAAGACCTCTCTGAGGAACTGTGTCTCCAGGCAGGAGCTGAGTACCAAGCTGAAGGCCATGGGTCCCAGTACAGCAGCCAGCGAGCTCGCCCTTATGAAGGTGGCAGACTGCCCCGCTTGATTTCTAATATGTCATTTTGGCAAGGCATTAAAAAAATAATTGCAATTTTTATTACAGCTAATTGGCTCGACTGCTAAGTGGTTTATCTAGCCCTGACCCTGCCTCTTGCTTTGGGGAAGCTGGCAGTAGCAAAGGCCTGGAGGCTTAGGAGGTGGCTTGGGCTATAGCCCTGTAACCAGAGCATGTGGGAGCCCCAAGCGAGAGGGAAATGCTCTGCTCTCTGTGGGCTGCCAGGCCATAACTTGCCCCAAGGCAAGAGATTGCYTCATTTTATAAAGATGCTGAAATTCAGAAAAGCAGAGAAATCTGCCTAAGGCGCCTGAGAAAATGACGAGACCCAGAAGTCCTTTTCCAGCAGGCACAGCACGTCTTGCCAAATGCCAGAGGGATATCACGCTGTCCCCATCTGCTGTCCCATTTCCCCCTGCTGGGGAGCTCTGCATGGAGATATTATGCTTAAAAAAGCCCTGCCTGGCTATCAGGGTGGGTTTTGTTGCTGTCCATGCAGCCACAAATGGGGAAGCAGCTMTGCCTGGCTGGAGTGGAGGCTTGGYGTGGCCAGGGCCTCTCTGGGCAGTTGCTAGAGCAGTTGTTGAGTTACAGTCATGCCCAAGATGTAAGAGAGGGGAAACCTTTCAGCTCTTCCCACGTCCTTGTACCTGTCCTTGCCTCCCACATCCCTGCTGCTGTCCCTACAGCATGGATGGGTCCCTTTCCCACTATGAGCAACCACTTTCCAGCTTGCAGCCTCCCTTTTAGTCCCTTTATTCACCTCAGGTTAGCTAGATCTGCTCTCCTTCTGTCACTGTTCTGCAAGGACAGGAGCGAGACCAATTCAGCCAACCTTTGGTGTGAGTCCCTGGGACCTGCTTGTGTTGTCAGGAGCGAAGCTGCCACTGCTGGTCCTGCTCCCCCGTGTGCTGCAATGCTGTGAATTGCATAAGGAACCACGTAAGGACTTCAGGTGGCTCAGGGGCAGCGATGCTCTTTGYTCCTTTCATTTTCCAGTGTAATGTGGGACGCTCACCTCAAAGAAGGCAGCAGTCTGACTGTCTCACAGCATCCATACGAGCTCTGTAATCAGAGCAGGGGACAGAGCCCAGCTCTGCTGTGCAGAGCTCCAAGGTCCCTAGGGTTGGGGTTTGGGGGCTGTTCGTCCCAAAGTGGCCAAATTCATGCACAGCAGATCCAGAGAGAGGAAAGGCAAACAGCAGATGTTTGAAAGGGAGATGGCCATACCTCCAGTCTATGTTACTGCAGACAATAAAGCACTGAAAAGTTTAGGCGAGATGGTATCAGGTAGTCTCCGTAGGTTATAATGTGGCCCTCCCTTGTGCGTGAAATTAAAAGGCACTCACATACACTCTCAGTGAAATTAAAAGGGACATCTCCTGTACAATCTGATAGCTTAAAATGCTGACCTGCCCCCTCCAAAAATTGAGATTCTCTCAAATGAGATGTCCTTTCTGCTTTCACACAGTTTCACTTCCTCTGGTTACTTCTTTTTCAGTGTGAGAATGGAGGGGGTCTCTGAGGGACATTCCTGGGAAGAGAGCGCTGAGAGAGGTGACCCAGGTCCTGCTCTCATGCATGACCCTGGCCATCTTCAGCCCACGGTGTCCTGAGCATTTGCTGACATTTGAAACAGTGTGAGAGAGAAAAAGGAAAAACTGTATAGTGACCRGGAGCAGTGTGCAAGTATTTGATTCCCGAGGCTGTAAAATTGAAGGGAATTCTCATAAAATTCACTTTTAAAAGTGGTGCAAAGCCATTGAGTCATTTGGGTTGCCTTGTCCGTCCGCATCTATCTGTCTGTGCCATTTCCCCATCAATGTCAGAGTGGTGGATTTAGGCTTTGAGCATCAAGGAGCTGTGGCAAGCCTGAGCTGTGGCAAGGTGAGAGCCACAGCTGGTATGACCRAGGCCTTTCTCATTGATGGTCAAGGCAGTGGGATTTGGGTTWTTGCCTTTGGCCAAAAGCTAACCCTGCTCTGCTCCCGGCAGCTGGAGGCAGGACAGGGAGGCAGGAGGCGCTGCGGCAATTGGGAGCCCTTTTCCATGGCYGAGTAGTTTTCCTTGTGCTAAACGGCAGGATGGCTTAGAGCAGTTCTCAGTGGGAGCTCGGCATCCCTCGGCAGCTGCAGCGAGGAGAGGGGTTTGGCTTGGCCGAATTCGGGCCACATAGCGCTCTGTAGAGGGAAGAAGTAGCTGCACCTTGGGCACCTGTGCCGAGCTGCCTGGACAAGGAGTTCCATGAAGAGCTGATGGCCTCGGTGGCCTTGCTGCCACAATACTCGCTTGCTCGCTCATCTCCAGCCCTGCTTCATTGAGACTTCAGGGTGTCCAGGCGTCTTGGTGGCTGTTCAAAATCACACCTACGCTGGGGACTGTATCCTGCTTTTGCAGCCGCTTCGTGGGTTGCAGTTGGAAATATCTCTTGAGGAGTCGCAAGAGCAGGAACATCATGGCAAGAGTATTTCCAAACAAGTCATCCTGCCACCTCCCTCTCTTCCACCGCAGGCTGGGAAGAAGGGGGCATCTTTGCCTACATCTCCATGACCCCAATGCCATCCTAATTCCATGCTACAGACCTCTAGCTGCTGGCAGATGCTCCGATGCCCATTCAGGCAACGTAAAGACTGTCTGGTTCCAAAAGGCTTTGCAGTAAACCCGCAGGCAGGCAACTTGTTCCCACTGCTTTCTTTGGGTGCAGCATGTGCAAAATGCTCTGCCAGCAAAAAAACAGTCCCTGCAAACAAACAACAAGCTGAAGATGTTGTAGCACATCCTGGGAATCGTCTTGAGCCTGCCCAGTAGTTTCCACCCCCTTAAAATGCTGGGAGGGTAAGAGAAGAGTGAGGCTGTGAAGCAAAGCGTGCTGCAGTGCACGGGTTCGGACCTTGTCCAGAGAAGAACTAGTGCCAGTTACTTCTGGATAAGCACATCTGGCTACTGCCTGCACCTGATTTCGGCTGCAGAAGCCTTGCTCTGACCGTGCCTCATGTTTTAGCGAGCTCTGTGCCTGGTGCCGACCCCTTGAAGAGGACTGGCTCCATAAGGGTGCTTGCAGAACTCAAGCTGCTCAGAGTTTTCCCCAAGGCAAGAGTCACTTCAGAAAATGTGTTTTCTTGTGTTACTAGTGCTACATAAGAGGTAGACTCAGTGGAGTGGYTTTGGCCAGCGGACACCCCAACTTGTCCCCTGGGCACACACTGCGGTCTCAGCAGAGATGAGAGAGAACAAGTCTTAAAGCTGTGGCTTAAACTCTTTGGGGCGCTTCAGGGCAGTCTCTGATTCTGGCATTTCATGGCATTACGCAGGTGCTGAGAAGGGCTAGGGAGGAAGGGGGCAGTGGATTTATCTGGTGCCCTAATGTGGGCTGCCAGACATGAAATGCTAAAAGCCTCCCTTACTGCGAGGGGGCTAAATCTCCAGGGCTCCTCTGAATTTTCTGTGCTCACTTCTGGGCTCCTAATGAATAGCACTATTATGGGCTTTTAAGAGGCCTCTCTGATAACATTGTTCTTTACAGGAGCATTTATACCAGGGGCTAGGCTCGACTTTGCCTTAGGGTTCAGCTGGGAGCAGGAGCTGTGTCTGCTGGGTCATCTGCCTCCTCTGTGGTGCCAGGACACCACAGGGTGCTGGGGCAGTCTGTGCCCAGAGGTCTCCTCTGCCTGGCCCATCTTTCGCACCATATGGATCCTCTGCAGGTGCTTCTTGTGGCCCAGAGCATGAGCCAGGCCCAGGCACTGCTCCAAGTACTTGTGGGAAGGAGCCACTACCAGATGTGGCTAAAGGCTGTAAAAATGGTGTCTCTGTGGGAGGGTGGCCTTTGTGACCTGCCAACCCAAAAGGTTTGCCTTCTCTCCATCTGCCACCCTCTGTATGTGGTAGGACAAGCCTTGTCTCAGTAGCTGTGTGCAGTGATGYTCACCTGGGTGCAGAGCTCTCGTGGGAGCGTGACCCCTGTCTCACTGACTCCCCTCTCTTTCACCAGGTGTGCAACGGCAACAAGTACCTGAAGGTCTCCAAAGAGAGGATGAGGCAGCTGATGGAGGGCAGCAGACATGCAATGGCGGAGGATGATGCAAGTAAGAGAGCGGGTGCTAGTGGTGGGTGCATCCAGGTACCACTTCCTAGCTGGGAGTCACAGCCCCGCCGCCGGCTCCACTCTGCTGCATGGCCCAGATAGCAGTTCATGGSTTGTAAAGCATCATCAATTTCCCTCCTGGCCAGGACCAGTGTAGGCCAAGCTCTGTGAACACTGGTGCTCAGCAGTTGCAAATCTGTCCCTACTTATTGAACAGGGAGTGACACTTTAATGTTTTCTGATGGGATAAGGATGCCTCCATGCAGTGATGGACACAGAGAGGAACAAGGTCTCCTAACCCTCTTTGGAGAGTCCAGCCTTAGGCAAGCCTTAGGAAGCCTGGAATGTCTCCAGGGCAGAACAGGACCTTCCCCACTCAGGCCGARCCTCTCAGATGGGGATGGCTTCTGCTTCTCTGTGACCTGCAGCTACTGTAACTTTGTGCCTAGTTAAGCTTGCATGTGTCCAAGTGCAGCTCTTCCCTCCTGGTGGGCCCACAGGAAAGAGCTGATCTGCCTCATGAGAACCTCTGCTGGGTTTTGCCTGTGGTTGCCTGGACCAGAGATGCTTTGGTAGGTGAAATCGCAGCAGCRGCCCGAGTGATAGCCTGAGGCATCACTGCCTGACTTGGGGAAAGTGCCTGTCGGCTGAGAAATGCCTCCTTGTTCTTAGTGGTTGCTCATGCATGGCACGAGCCCTTYCTCACCTGCACCACGGCTGGTAAACCAGGTCAGCTTGCAGGAGGAGTGAGTGCGTGCTACCTGCGCAGAGGAGCTCAGGCCAGCTTCTCTCAACAGCTTCCAAGCATGTCCTTGACCCTCTCCATGCCTCAGTTTCTCCATGTACATGATAGGCGCCAGGCAGGACCAATGCAACATCCTTTGGGATCGCTGGCTGCCGCGCATTCCTAGAAGGCTGCAGCTTTGCTGGGAAATGTGCATGTGGCTCTGCAGCTGGAGGGACACGGCGGGTGGCTTTTCCCATGGCACTGGCAGCCGGGAGCTTGGTGCTTTCCAAAAGGCCAGGGCATCCTCCCAGAGGTTTCTCCTGGGAGGGCACTCACTGTTTATATGTACTCAGAGACCAGCCCGGCCTGTTCAGCCAGTTTTAGAGTATGGGAAGTAGAAATGCTGTGGTTTTTGTTCAGCAGYTTAAGTGGTTTCCCCAGCCCCTGTGCTGTGAAGACAATAGGRCTGGGGGTGTCTCACATGCCATCTTTCAGTCAATGTCTCTGTGCTCCTGCATGCCCACTCTTACAGTGTCTCTCTCACTTCTCTGTCCTCTACATCATATCCCCGAATCTCCTATGCTGCCTTGGTTTCCATAAGATTCCTCTTCTTCCTCTGTCTCTCCCTGGATCCCCCTCCAGCCCTGCTTCTCGTGTGACAGAACGATGCAGTCTCCACAGAAGGAAGGACACGGAGCCACATGCCTGMTCTGTTGGATGTTACCAGCTTGTGTCCTGAGGCATGGAGAGGTCAAGGACAGAAAATGTCTCAGTGTCCTTCAATGACAGGGCCAGGGGCCTGCATGTCACCAGAGCAGCTCCCAGGAGGACAGCCAAGGTGGGCAAGGTGCTGCACCCTTCCAAATGTMAGCTCTTTGTTCCCATTGTTTCTTCCCTGCCTTCATTGTAGACCTGATTAGGTTGCATCTCACCAACTTAAACACCGCAACAGGACTGAACTCACCAAGCCAGGGGGGAGTGTTTTGCTGCAGTGGAGATATAAAATATAGGTTAACCCATGTGCATTGAGTTGTGTCTGTGCCAGGAAGCATCTGGACTGGGCAGACGGCCACAGCTAGGCAAGGAGCACCTGGTCCAAAGCAAAGCCCTCCTAGGGTCACATTTGTGCTGCTGAGCATGGATTAAGCTCCTCAGGACTGGTCAGATGATGCTGGTTGTCCAGCAACGAGTTCCTTAGGAAGAAAATGCTCYTTCCACTCACCCAGAAGAAGCAAGCATGGTGTGAGCACGGGCAGATGGGGCCAAGGGCCAAGGCAATGCAGATGCGGCCATGCAAGGGGACGATTTCTGTCAGAGAAATCTTTGATATGTCTGCAGTTCCCCAGGTGCTCTTGGAGTCAAAGCCTGTAGGGGCAGAGAGCTGCTTGCATTTTGGAGTTCATTGCAGCAAAACCTGAGTCAGTGCCACTCAGTTTGGCTCCCACATCTTTATGACAGCGCTTCCAAGTGATGAAAGGCAAATTATTCATCTTTCAGTAACCCATCTGAATTTGGACCTAGGACTTTCCAAGCTTTTAAGGAACATTTTCCCAAATACAGMCACATTTTCCCTTTATGATGACTTTGATGGCAGTGTCAGAAATTGTTTCAAGTCCAGAAATTGTTTCAGTCCCAGTGGAGGGCTCTGGGCAGTTTGCTTTAGGGGACCCATGTGCCTAGAGCAGGCAGAGGAGTGGGGCAGAGAGAGATGACAGTGCTGCAGATCAGTGCTGTAGACACTGTTGGCAAATTATAGACTGGACTGGATGTGACACAGGGCTCTAGTCCATCCAGTAGAAGCTTCTTGCTTAGTCACCAGAGTAAAAACTGGTACTTGGTTGAGATGCCCTAGCAGATGAAGTCTGGTTCCTAGGAAAGGCAAGGATGTATCACATTAGATCTGGTTAGGATTTGCCTAACAGAAAAGTCCTCTTTAATCATAAAATGACCCCTTTCCATTTGAAACATTTTTGCAAAACAACAAGCTGTTATTGCTCTTTCCTGAGCTCTGCTGCTAACCAGGCTTGTCTGATCCTCATCGGATGCTTCCCTGTCTCCCTGTCACATGAGGGAAGAAGTGATGGTCGCTGGATGCTATACAGGGAGAAATTACATAACAAGCAAGCAGTCCTGCAGCAGGATCCTCGTATGGTCTCTGACCATCATCTGCCTTAAAAAACCYGCTCTGCATCACCCCTAGAGCAGGAATGGCAGGTCCGAGAAACCTGGTCCTCCTGGCCTTCACTGGCTTGAGAAACTGCTGCTCTTGATACATTCCGGGCATTGCTTTGCTGGCAGGGTCTCCCTCTGCCTCTCCAAATTAGAGTGAAGCAGAGGCTTTGGATACAGCAACAGAGATGTTTGAAGAGTCCAATATAGCRTCTTGGGGAACCACTGATGGACGAGCTGGGCTGGACTTAGGTGTCCTATATGACCACCCATTAGCTGGTTGCTCACATGCCAATGCTAGCATTTGAGATCGACAAGCACAAGATCTCAGAGATGTCTCTCCTGCGAGATACTGCTGGAAAACTCTGCTGGTGCTGAGATTCTCTGGCTCCTTGCACTCAGCAGGATGATTCCTTTGGATCCAGGTGCATTGCTGAGGATGGAGGGGAGAGAAATAGGGGAGTCTTGCTCCAGATCTCCCCACTCTGCTTCYACCTCAGAACCAACCCATCAACCTTTAGAGTTTTCTGTGTCCTCTGCCCTTCCACACAGTCTATTTTTATTTTCCTCAAACTTTGCATCCTGCAGCTGTGGGAGCCCCGTGACCTTTCAGAGGAGCAGTYGTGGTCTCTGGGAAGTCCCTGTGCTGTGCAGCAGGATGGCATGGGGTTAGCAGGGCACTTGGAATGGCAGCTAGGCAGGCTGGCGGTGTTGCCACCGTGTTCCTTCCTTGTGGCCCATGGCCTGCTCCCTGTCCTGGATCTGTGAGCGACTTGCTGTTTCTTTCCCTTCCTTCCCCTTGGCTTTGATCAGGACGTTGCACCACATGGCTCTGTGTCTGAGCCCGGGTGAAGCCTCAGTGTGAGAGGCAGGAGGAAAAGCTGCAGGATGGCAGAGAGCAACTGGGAGAGCTTTGCAGTGACTTCAAGCCAGGGCTGATGCTTCTTCTACCACAGAAGGATTTTCCTCAGTCATGTGGTACAGGAGGCCACGCTGTGTCCAAAACCTTCATGCTAGTTGCTTTTTTTTTTTTTTTCCCCACCCTGCTTCCCTATTTACAGCATTTGGCTTTGTCAGGAGTATCAGACAGGTCTTACTGCCATGTGGGCCAGGGCAGGCAGTCCTCACGCTGTCCCACAGTGGCTTTCATACCCACTGTACAACTCATGTGTGTCCCACACCTGGGCCGGCACAGGGTCAGGCATCCAGGACAGACTGGCACCTCCTGAAGCAGCTTAAGCTGCTTTGCAAACTTCTTTAGAATCCCCAGCAGCCTGGCAAGCTGGGAGGTTACTTGCTTGCAGCCGTTCATCTACAGTGCTTGGGTCCCTAATGACCTGGGACACAGTTCGAATGGCTGGGGAAGTGGACCCAAAGATTCTGCATCAATGGATCCAAGGGCTTCCCTGCCCTCCCCAGTCCCCAGCCAGAAACGCCTCCCAAGCATRGGCTCAGGGCTGGCCAACTCCTCCTGTTCAGAAGAATTTTGTTTGCTCATAGAAATAAAAACATGCCTGGGCTGTGAACTGAGTGACATTTTCGGGGCTGTGRGTTCCCAGGGTTGTGCGTGTACCTGCTGACATCAGTGTCATGCCAAAAGTGCCCTAGGAAGGAGCTAGAGGCATGGCAGCCAYGTGCATGCCAAAGCAACAGAAAACATTGCTCTTTGCACAGGATCCAGCAGGATTTTCTCCCACAACGGGAAGCAAAGAAGAGATTGTAGCAACTTAACCTGGCCTGCAGATTTGCTCATAGTCCCTTCTTTGCCTGTTCGCCGGAGAACATCTTAAGAACATAGGCCAGCTAATGCAGCCTAAGTTGCATAATCCCAAGTCCTTTGTCCTCTGCTTATCTAACTTATCTAGAAGGAAAAGATAACCAGGCATCTTCAGTGCCCTGCAATCGAGTGTGTTTCTCAGGCTCGTAACTCCTTTTATCGGGCTCAATCTCTCGCCACAGCAAGGTTTCCCATGCACCTTTGTACTCCAAGAATGCTCCCAGGTCTGCTTTCAGACTTGTGCAAAGCCTTTACGATGTGCGCTTTCTCCAAAACACCTAATCCTTAATTGCCTAATTATGGACAAATCTCCCATGTGTGTGCGCGC